GTGGGCTAAGAGAGGTACCCCAAACTGGGAGGGGATGCAAGTGTCCTGTCGCTGGGAACTATTTGCAAAAAGAACTCTCGCAGGGGTGAGAGGGAGGTCGCAGTGGTCGAGATTATAGGGACCCCCGTGCTTCCACTGTGAAATCCATGCCTTGCCCATATTATCACCCTCCCCTACCACCGTCCACCTCCACCACCACCCATCCTCTCAGGCCTGTCTTTTCCAGGAAACTAAAAAACAAATAGTGTCACATTTATTCTCACATCTGTCATTATGATTATCAGCTAATACTTGGTGTCTACCTGTGCCTGCTCTGTGTTCACTGCTTCAGTACGTGAGCCCACTCAGCATCTTCCCAGTGAGGCAGGTGCTCTAATTAGCCCTATTTTAATACCTCAGAGAATGGAGGCAAAAGGAGGTTAAATAATGCACCCAATTACCCAGGTGGAGGAGGCGCGGGTAGGCGGGACAACTTTTGCTGGGACTAATGCAACGACAGAACCGGAAGGGAGCACAGATATTATCTAGCAACAAGAGTTTGTCTTTCATTTAACAGAGGAAACTGAGGCGAAAGTGGCTTGATCCAGCTCCTTCCTGAGGGCGGAGCCTGTCACTTTTCCACCACGGTCTGTCCCTCTGGATTGTCACGTCTCAGGCTCAAGGCTGGACTGGAGCCTCCACTCAGCCAGTGCCATCACTGCCCGCTGCTTCCCTAACGCGGCCAATCTCGCTGTCACTTCTGGCTGCCTTAGATTTCCAAGTACAAGAAAGTAAGAAGCTACCACTTCCTGAGGACCAACCGACTGTACCCTGGGCTCAATCAACCCTCACATGACCACTATGAGGCAAGTGTTATTATTACCTCCATTTTAGAAACAAAAAGATTGACCCAGAGTATTTTCATTATTTTCCCAAATCACACAGCTAGTACATACCAAATTGTTAGTTACTAAGCTGCCTCCAAAAAAAAAAAGTGAACCCATTAATAGCACCTGTTAATAAGCATCTTTTCTCACTTACATTCCCACTTCCCCTGCTTTCCACCTGGCAATGCTGGTAGACATGCTGTATGTTTCAAAACTCCATGCTGCCATCCTGCCCTGCAACCTGAGGTTAAACATGACTCAAAGGCAGGATCCATGCAAAGCCAGCAATTTGTGCAGCTAGTCTTTAGCATCTATCACAGGCTTGGATCAACTCTCCACGTAGGGACCTAAATTCTCCTATGGGCCTAACAGTTCATGCAATCAAGGCCCCACTGGAAAAGAGGGCTCAGGTTCCTCCCAGCTCCAGCCCAAAGCTGTCCCCATATATTAAGGTCTAGCAGCCACCAACGGCACTCAGATCCCCCTGCGATAAGCAGTGAAACATGAGTTTGCCTGCGAAGACCTGAGAGCATCATAATCCAAGAAATGCAGAGGGTAAGCTGTGCGAGATTCCTGAGATAATTGAAACTGACCCATAACTCACCAGCCGCCATGAGAAGTTCTATCACTTTGCACACTTTGCTTCCATAGCTAGAAATCAAGTCAGAGGAACATGATCAGATTTCTAATTTGGAGCCTTGGACACGCAATGTCATCTTTAATGACTCCCGGCAAAAGATGCTCATTACAGATCTCAGCACACCTAAATTAAAACATGAAACCCCAAAATTAAGCAGGAAATTCTCAATTTCTCATGCCACAGAAAAATCATGCAAGAGGGAATACACAAACTCCTCAGGGTTTTGTTCTGCCTGTAGATATTCGAGCGGGAATTACATGAAACAGAAGAGCTAGTAGGAAAAAATAATAATAATAAACAAACCTGCCAGGTCCTAACTTTCAGGTTTGGGCCATCTGGGGGAATAGCAATTTTTCATGATCAATTTGAACTATCACGTCAGGGAACATTATCTCTCTGCTGATGGCCGATTTCATCTGTTCTGTGATGGAGCGCTCAGATTCCTCTGGTACGGTAGGCTGCCAGCTTTAAGTCTTTGCTTACTGCTAAGTGGACTGAAAGACAATGCAATCAGTCAGCACGGTGTTCAGGTACATAAGGGTCCTTTAAAATGGGAGGCTAAAATCCAGCTCTCATCATCAGTTCTAAATCTAATTAAGTGTGGATTTTCTAGACAGCTTAGGTGACCATTAAGCGATCTCCAGAAGATTGTTTTCAAATCTCTTCCCTCCACTCCCCATCTACCCCCTGCCCTTTGTTTGTGTCACCGTATGAGTGGCTGTCCCCGCCCAGCAGACTGACTCACAACACCAGCTATCACATCTGCTCATGACTCAATTCTTCTCAAACCAAAACTCAGGAGCAATCCCCTGTCTGCAGCCATGTCTCAGTGATGGCCCAGAAATATTAACGTAAAGTTAGATGTACATATTTTAAGTTTTCTTTTCCCTTGACATGCATTCTTATGGAGAAAAGTTAGAGAATGGGGACCAGGACCGCTGTAGGGTTATGTGACCAGATCCTGACTATGAACATGGTAAACTTCCTCATAAAGGTGGAGGAACATCATGAATAGTGCCAAGGGGAATCTATACTTTGTATCCTTTTTAACAGTTAAAAAACAACTTCTTCTGAGCCTTAAACTGTGCACTACAGCTCACAAGAGAGTTAACCTCCTTTCTTCAATTTAGCTATGTACTGTGGAATGGCTGTTGTGTGCAGAGAATGAAGGCCCAGGTGTTTCTAAGTATAACTGGCAAACCAGAAGACGCTTCAAGAAACTCAGACAAACGTGAAGGGGAAAATCTACACTCATGCCAGCTAAAGGAAGCCGGATACAGTCTAGGTCACGCTCCCGGGAAGGACCAGGTTTGCTGTTTCATCACTTGCCCTTGTAAGTACCTCCCTTTAGAAACACAACCCTGGGAGGAGGCATGCCAGAGTAACTTTTCATTATCATTTTCCTGCCCCCGTAGCAACTGAGAGGGAGGAGAGAGTGTTTCAGCAACCTGGGGGCTACACTATTTGAGGCTAGGTCCAAACAAGAATGACAAAAGTTCTCGGCAGACAGGCTCACTCCATCTTGGTGGTTTGTATATAACGAAGGATCTTGGATAAAAAATAAAATATCTAATTAATTAGCCTAGAGCTGGCATGCCTGCCAAGAGTCAAGGTTTTTTTATTATGCCAACCAACACTGGAGGAGCCCTTTAAAAGAATGTGCCTCCCAAGAAAAACATGAGTGCAAAATTCACCCCAAGGAGTCAGAGGAATTGTGCAAGGTGCCCACAAGGCACTCATGACATGTTCCCCAAACCACGCTGAGTTCCAACCCATTCATTCAGTAAATTACTTTTATGAGCAGGTCAAAAGTTAACAGAGCCTTCCAACCAGGCTCACGTTTCAAACAAGAACCACTTCCCGGCCCCTGAGCTGGAGAGAGCCCCATTTCTAACCTCGCCATCAGAACCGGGCAACCTATGATATTCAGTGAAGCAATTAAGGACAAATCAAAGCAATTACGTGACATTCCTTGCAACAATCAGGTGGCATTTCTAATCCCAAGCAGCAAACTGGACCCAAAATAAAATGTGTTCACAGAGGCTTAGATAAATTCAGCATCCATAATTACTATGAAAAACCAGGAAGTTGCATGCCATCCACTCCAAGAGCAACCTTAGACATGGTAATATTCACTGAGGTCTCCCCCTCGGCTCTTCTGCCTACAAGGATGAAACATAAGACTGGATGAGCCAGAATGAGTTTTCTGAGCAGGGCCAGGACCAGGGTGAGGCAAACCTAGGCTCCCAAGGAGCACAATTTAAGTAGACACTGCCTCCCACAGATGTGCCAGTCCTCACCCTGAGGTTCCTACGTTAGGTTTGCAATTGCCAAAGCCAGCCCATCACCTGTTACACACTGGAAATGACAAGAAACACAGCAGGCAAACAACCTTATCTGGAGAACAACAATCACAAACGGCAGGGGGGGGCTGAAGGATCTTTTGGAACAAAGACTTCCAGGCCAACCATAAATTTATGGGGCAAGATCAAGAAGACTAAGAATTAGCCAGAAAGGGAAAGAAAAAGACCGTATGATATCACTCGTATGTGGAATCTTAAAAAGAAAGAGAAAAATAGGAACCCATCTACAAAACAGAAACAGACTCACAGACACAGTAAACAATCTTATGGTTACCAGGGAAAGGG